AAGTGTATAAATTCTCAAGTTTAAAAAAAACATGTGCAAACCCTAATGCTTTGGATATAAAAGCAACAACAGTAGAAAAAAGGGACATAAACACATAGAGAGAGATTGAGAGCAAGAGGCATTGAGAAAAAACAGAAAAAGAGAGATTGAGAAAGAAAAAATCATTGAGAGAACAAGAGAGTGATAGAAAGCCAGAAGAAGGAGGTGAACCATAGAGCATAGCGAACAAAAGCCATTGGTGATTAGAAGGAGAAGAGTAGCTCTTGGATATATTTCCTTTCAAACCTTTATCTCTTTATATATCTTGCATGTTTTATTTTTCTCTTAAGTTATTGATGTTGTATATATTGTAATGAGGTTTCAAGAGTGACCTATGTTGTATGGAAAAAGTATAAGAAAAGGAGAGAACATAGGTTAGTTTTCATAGTGAAATGAGTGGGAAAAAACTCAAAAATACTGTCATGTTCGCTGGCAAGTTCGCATAACGAACTTTGCCCCCTTTTCCCTCCGTTTCTATGAAAAAAAGGTGTATTATGGGCAAAAAGCATGAAGTTCACACAACGAACTTCTTGATGTTTTCCCTGGGCAGGTTCGCTGGCAAGTTTGCATAGCGAACTTTGGCCCTTTTCGCCTCTGTTTGTGAATAGTGTGTGTTCGCTGGCAAGTTTGCACATCGAACTTTGGCCCCTTTCGCTTCTGTTTGTGAGTAGTGCACGTTCGCTGGGAAGTTCGCACAACGAACTTCATGTTGTTTCTGGGCAACTTTGCTGCAAGGTTCACACAACGAACTTTCCCCGTTTCAAGCCGACTAACCCGATATGGTTGTACGACCATTGTATGTGGATTCTTACGATCATTCTTGACTTTTGGTTCCAAAAAATATTTTCAAAAATAAACTCTCGATTTTATCGAGCCATTTTCACCCTTGTAAGTCGACCGCCTTGTGCATTCGCCATCGACCTTTTTCGCATCACTTCAAATATTTTTACACGTAATAAAACCCTTGATCCAACATCAAGTGGTATTTTTCTCATAAAAATCCAAAAAAAAAACAATAAAGATACGATTAGGTTTATACGCCATAAGCTTTAAGGTGGTGGAGAAGGAATGAGAATGGAACCCTCCTACACTCGTTCTGAATGTTTTGAATACAAGGCGCTCGACTTGGTTATTCGAGATATTCATATCTATCCAAAGTCTTTAGTGTGATCCTAGTCAAACACAATGTCTTCTCAAAAAACCTAAAAATAACATCAACTCATCAAACTTCTTTTCGCCTTAGGGCATCAATCTGAAAATCCTTTTTTTAAGGTATAAAATCAATCAACAAATAACCATTTCACAAGCCTCCGAACTACGGAGCTCTGATTCTTCACTTCTATTAAGTGAGGATACGTAGGCACAAGGGCCACAATCCTTGGCGAGCACTCTAATAAAAAACAACCCCTATTTTCTTTTAAGCAAGCAAACTCTTAGATTAAAACACCCATTCAAGCTAAATAACCTAGAAGGTTCCCATCGAGTACGATGGATGTGATGGGGTGCTAATACCTTCCCCTCGCATAACCGACTCCCGAACCCTAAGACTTGGTTGTGATGACCATGTTCTTTCCCTAAAGGTTTTATCATTATTTCCCATCCCTCCTTGGGATAAATAAAATTTGGTGGCGACTCTGCGTCATTTTTCGCGTAGTGACAAGGAGCAGGATAGAAAGTTAGATGAGGAGAGGGATAGGTTGTTACAGACGGTGCATGAGAGTGTCCAGAAGCAGCAGGAGGAGCGAATGAAGATGACTGAGGTGAATGTGTCTAAGAAGTGTACTCGCAGTGTGCGTGAGGTATAAGTTGTATGTTATTTTTATTATTCTTTGCGTATTTTAATTTTGGATTGTATTTATGTTATTTTTATGATGCATAAATTGAATTCATTGGGTCTATTAAGCTACATAAATTCAAATTAGTTGGAAATTCAAGACAATGAAGTTCAGAAAGTTACGGGTTGTACAAACGCGAAAGAAAGTTTTTCTGTCAATCAGGGCAGTGTTGAACTCACACCGTTAAGAGTAGATAACATTGAGAGACTAAGAATGATCATTGACACTCTTCTAGACACATTGTTGGGTATTAAATTAATTCATGATCCAGAACAACTATTCATGCTTTTTAGGACATCTATCCATGAATTTTTGTCGAAAAATGTGTTCCTAGACAAACAAATTTGGTCCTTGCAAGTATAGTTTTTATGTTGATCTCTATTTATATTCATAAGTTCTTCTGCTTTAAGATAAAGATTTGCTCTTGCAGGTACATCCATGACTTGTGTGTTGAAAGGAAACTTCAAAACAAGTATTGTATCTTAGATCCAACGCACATTGGTCTTACACGCGGTTCGATAGGACACGATATCCGTAATTACTTAAAAGATAAATTGAAAGGCAACATCAAATATTGTTATTTGACCCAGTTTTACCGCAAGTAAGTATATATTAACTTGTGTTTTACTTTATAAAGCAATCTTATACATAATAATAATTCTGAATGTTTATGCAGTGAACATTAGCAACTAATTGTTATATGTCCCGAGATAAATACTATAGTTGTGTTTTGCTCATTGCACTCTGAACCGCTCGAAGAAGCGGTTAACGCTTGAATGGGTGAGTGGTATCATTTTTATCTTTAGAGTTGAATAGTTTTTATTTATGTTTAATTTTAATCGATATGTGTAGAGCGATTGAGCAATATAATGCATTCAAACATAATGTACTTGGTAAAAGACATATCTATGTTTCTCTAAAAGTAAGTATGTTACATGTGCATTTTTTGACATTATATTATTTGTGTGTATTAGTGTGATATAAATATATGAAAATTATTTGTAGTGGCGAAAACAACCTGACGACCATTCATGTGGATACTATGGTATGAGATATATGCTCTATGTCGTCTCCATAGGCTTGAAAGAGAGATGGATGAAACATAAGGTATTAATTTAATCCATATCTTCTTAAGTTAAGGTTGTTGTTAGCTTATCATAACTTAATTTTTGTTCTAATTATACAAGTTTAACAACAAAACACCATACTCAAAAGAAGATATGGATGATATTCGATCAAGTCGGGTCAGAGTCTTTTTATCTAATTATGATTCTCTAAAACAATAGTTTTTTCTAGTTGTAAATGTGTAAATTCCATTAATTTGTTTTGTATAAGTATGTAAATGTGTGTATTCTGTGTTGATGATCAGAACAATGTAAATGATATGATAAATTCCAATTTTGTCGCACATTTTGTAGTTTCTGTGTAAAAAATGATACAGGAAAGTTAACAGATTCATAATGATATGATACAGGCAAAATTGTACAGGCCAGCGAAAATGATACAGGCAAATAAATGAGATTTTACCCCTCAGTTATTACTTAAAATTGAGGTCAATAAATAACTTATTACCTCAATTTTCAAATACATCTAAGAGGTAAACGGGGCGCACAACAAAATTTAAAAAATAAAAAATATGCAGTTGATGAGGATCGAACTCATGACCTTTTAATATATATTAGATGCTATTGCGTCTAGCTTCACTAAGAATGATCTCTCTAGGATGCCTTTGAAGGGGCTCTAACATGCGATTACAAGGAAGTTAAGGATTACCTTTCTCTCGCACACTTCTTCTCCAATCGTCAATGCCATATATGTCATTCCCTGAGGATAAGTTATCTAATCTTTGAATGTCAGCAGATCTTCCTTGTTGTATCAACATTGAGGACGTTCAGATTTGTTTTGTGGATGCCTATTAACTCTAACGTATCAACGTAGAGGACGTTGCAAGAGCTTATATCATCCACAGAGAATCCAGTTATACTTTGATCAGCTATGGTGACTATGAGGATCAGAGGCAGACTAAAGTTAAGAATTCAAACGATCATTTTGCGATCCAGAAATCCTTACTCCTATCGATCCTCACTATGCTGAACGCCGGTGCTCTCCATGATCATATGACTATCTAATGATGGATATGTGTTGGATGTCGCAACATTGCGGAATTGATTGATCAATGACAACTAGTGAGCGATTGACATGGAAGACGAAATGTATCTCGTAGACATAATTAACACAACTACATTTTTCCTTCTTTCCGCCTTAGATATAGATTTTATTTAGAACCGAGTGAGATCTAGTAATAGAATTTCACGAGAATCAGAAGTCATTCCCATAGACGACGTCACTGTTCTATTCTGGAATTAGGATTGAATGCAGTTGATGAACTAAGAATCTCGAACAGGTGGTGCTGATCCCTGATACAGTGGTGCGGGGTGGACAAGTAAGGTTAGCAGTCTAACGCTCAAGTCAGTTTAAGATCCAAGATCCAAGATTAGTATAGTAAAAAATAGATATCATAAAAAATCTCTTACTTTCCGTGTGAAATAACTTTACACTTTGGATTAAATAGAGTGAATTTGAATTAAATTCAATCTCAAGACGATTTGAATTTTGGCCAACTCATGACAATTACTATTTTGCGGCAATATATATACATCATCATGGAAGGAAAAAAAAAACACAATTACTATTTGCGGCAATATATATATATATATATATATATATATATATATATATATATATATATATATATATATATATATATATATATATATATATATAGTCAAAGAAATCATTGTCAATAAGACCCTCTCAATGAGTCAGGATTACTGGGAAACTTTATAAGCATAATCCCTTGATTTCTTGCTTAGAAACTAATCCATAAATACACTTATCTTATGACAAATGCAGAACTTCTATAATGAAGTGGAACTCATACTAAACGAAACAAAGACTTAAAATTTCAAAAGAGATAAACATGTCATTAGAAAAAACACATCTCACTCTACAATTCAAGCACAGTTATTAATTAGTAATTTCATGTCCAAACTGAATGAACATGACATATAGTTATTTTGTTGCCAAAAAAAACTAATATAAGAGTTTATTTAAGATACAAAAATCCTAAAGCCTGAGAGTGAGATCAGGAGATACAGTAGATGTTTGTTGAGGAGGTTCTGTTGCTACAACAAAACCAGTATTCAATCTTGAATTATGAGCATGAACACTTTGATCTATCTGTCTGAAACTTCCAGGCCAAAATACACCCGAGTCTTCGTTATGCATAAACATCGGAGCTGCTCCGAAATACTCATTCTCGAATTTCACCGTTGCGCGTATATCATTAACCCTCATTGACGACAACGATGGCATGTGATTGTTATGCATTGCAGCATGAGCTTGAATACCAAGAGAATGACAAGAAGAAGAACCATGAAGAGGTAAAGAAGCTAAGCTTGTATACCTTTGAGTAAACATTTCCATTCGCATTGCGCGTTTGGCCATCGTTCTCTCCCGTTTGTGCGCGTTTTGATGTCCGCCTAAGGCTTGTGAACTAAAGAACTTCCTCTTACAATAGTTACAAGAGAAAACTCTATGAACCGGTGGCGCTGACACGGTGGTGTTATTCGCCTGATCAGCTCCTACTATCTCGCTGTTAGTGTCGCTTGTTTCCTTGAAATCTTCATCGCTCGGATCCAAGGTGAGAGTCAGGTCAAGCGAAATGGAATCTGGAAGAGTTGTAAGACAGGAAGTTGTTGCACTGTCTTTGGTAACATCATAAGATGTTGTTTCTTGAAAGTAAAAGTTGGAACCTACTTGGCTGCTTACTTCTAAACTATTTTCAGCTTCCATGTTCAAATTCGGAATCATCCCGTCGCTATGGATCTGCTTATCCTAACTAACAATTGGAACGGAACAAATAATCACCTGCATTATTGATTAAGTACATTAATATATAAGCACTTATATGATAAGCACTTATGCTAATGTTAGCATAAGTGCTTATTTCTATTAAAAAAAGATTAAATCATGAAGTAAAAACTAGCATTACAATGTTGTAACTATAGGACCTAGATGTATTTAACCTTCATCAATCACAAGTTTGGGGACTATCCTTCCCAAACCATGATTTTTTTAAGAATTGATTTTTTTTTCCAGCTTATTTATAAGTTCATAGTTCAACTTCAAACTAGCATCTTCAAATGAAACATCAAACTACCGAAAAAAAGAACCTAGAGATAGAAAACAAAGAAAATCTCTTGACATCCTAATATTTAGTATCTTAGATCTAATTGACAGCAACAAAAACAATTACCACAATTAGAAACAAGTTCATGAATATGTAAAACCAAAAAAGTAAATAAAATGAAATGCATGTTTGAAGTAGTTGATGTGATAAGTGGAAAGAAAGACTTACATAAAAAGTGAAGAAACTTGTTGGAATGGAGTGAAAGTATGGTAGTTTGAAGTATGGAAATAAAAAGAGATATGAAGAGAAAAGAGAAAGAAAACAAACTGTTATGGGAAAGCAGAGGTAAGAAAAGTGATATGATGGAGAAAAGTCAGATAAGTCAGATTACAACATGTACTACTACTGCTGCATGCACTACAACCACTTCTTTTGTCCAATTTCAAGGTATCTTTCTATCTATTTCCATTCCCAAATCATTTCTTACCAATACTATAATACTACTACTTCTACAATGATAGTTAGCTCCTTTATATATTGGCTTTTTTTTTCACAGTCAAATGAAATAGAATGAAGTTTATATAATTTTTTAATAGAAAGTGAAAAATTACATCTATTTTTAATTAATCTAAATAATAAAAATTAAATTTATATAATTTTTTTTCATTTTATTTTATTTTATTCCATCAATTCAAGCTATAACATAGATGTAAATAAGATGTCGCAAATTTAAATAGGTTAGATGATCAAATATTTTAGCAAAACTATCAACTGAATAAGTTAAAAGGAGTGACTTTTTTATGTTAATTATGTTTTTTTATATGCATTTTTTTTGACAATAATATTAAAATTAAAAGAATTTAATGCAATTTCTAAATGTTAAACTAAGGGACAAAATAGAAAAAGAAATACTGAATATTTGTAATTGTGTGTATATGTGAGAGGGAATAAATGGACAAACAGAAAGACAAAATATGAATGGGGTAGTGTTTGAGATGACCCACATAACACAACCAACACAAGAAGACATGGTCTTAATGATCCTTCAGCTTCCACTATGAAAAAGGAAAGGCCCACTACATTCAATAATAACATTTCTACTTTTTTGGGTTACATAAATAATTTTCTACTTTTTTAGGTTACATTATTAATTTTCAACCAAAGAAAAAGTTGATAAGATTTTTATGATGTTTTAAGATGGAAAGATATTCTTTCCTTCTATATATGTGTTGTCTCATAATACCTTTTACTACTACCCTATAGAGAACTTTTATTAGGTAATTAAACTAATATATTTGCAATTGGATTATTAATCTGTTAATAATTTGATAAATTAAAAAATTTTAATTAGATTTTTGAGTTGCAGCTTACACTTTTAAATAATCTATAATTAAGTCTCTAAATTCAAGAATGTGACTTTAAATTAAAAATCATTTTTAAGTTATGGGATACTATTCGAATTATTTTAGTTCAGGTTAATTAGACCATAAAAGTATACATGAATTAGAATTGGTGTTGATTGATGACGTAAGACAATGGAATCGGCAATGTTGATCTCCAGTACGGTGGCGCGGGGTGGACCTGCAAGATTAGTACTTTAAAACTCAAATTAGTTCAAAGTCTAAGATGAGTATAGCGAAAAATAATGATCAACAAGTGTACCCTGAATCTTATATGTGCTGACTTTATATGTCGGATAATCTTGATTGGGCTTGTGTGAGATTGAACCTTTGTATTAGGTCTTTGGTTAGTCCAAAACAGTTGCCCTCAAGGCTTGTCGAGCTTGAACTAGATGGTAATTTTTCAAAGTTATGGTCGGCCTCCAAGGATGATGCCCGACCATGGGGAGAAGAAAACAATAATGGATCAATTACAAATGTATTTGGGGACAATCACATTAAATGTTTTTCCATCATTGAAATATTTTGTCAATTTTTCCAGATGTGTGGCCTTAGACAATCAGTTTATGGTATGGTGTTTTTCCCTAGGGAATTTGTGTAAACTTGAGTACGTTTCCATTTTCTAGGCAAAATCTAGACGTTGATTTGTAACTTCTCGTTACTATTGATTTGGTATGTTGATCGCTTTCTTCTATATATAAACGTTTTTAAGCTTTAAGAGAACTTTTCGCTATCCTTGAAAATCAGTTTCCATTTGAAAGTGTTTTTCCTTTCTTTTCTCCAAGAGTATTTTCTAGAAAGCATGTATTCTTTGAGCAAAGTCTCTCATTTCTCACTTGACTTTCGTCTTTCTTGTTAGGCTCTACTTCTCTAATGTACCCTTCTTACCTTAAGCTTTTTATATCTCCAGCATTCTCCTTACTATAACCAATATGAACGATAATCCCATAAGTTTGTCTAGTGACTATGGGAGTAGCAAGTCATCTCCTTTAGCTAGGGCAGAGGTGTCTTCTAGTCCATATCCGTTCAATTTAGTTGCTAACCAATCATTCCAATAGATTATACTTGTATCTGATGATTCTCTTTTGAAGAAGTTTTCTAGAGGCGCTTCTGATAAAGAAGTTCCCTCTAGTGATTATCCCTTCGATGCTAGTTTTCTGAAGAGAATGCTAACGATGATCCTGCGGTTTTCTCTATGCTCGCATCATGCAAAATTTCAGAAGCTTCATCTTCTCTTGCTTTGATAACTCTAGAGATGGATTTTGCCATTTTGAATAGGAAAGATGCTAAGAATTTCGCCAATCCTTAACCAAATGCTTGCGGTCGGGAAATGAGCGATGTTGAAATTAAGGATCATGTAATGCATGGTGCCTGGCTAGATGGTGTGAGTTTGCTCAACCCCTTTGGGGTCTTCAAGGTTGACAAGATTCCTTTTAAATGACTCATGTTAGTGGAGTCGACTGATGCCAGAAAATATAGTTAGGTGGAATCGAAGATAGTGGGAACCCCTTATATTTTATGTGATTCGATCGTCGTTAAAGTAGATAACATCGGGGTCGGTTGACCCACCGATTGGTCTGTCCTCCCTATGGACTCAGGTAAAAAGATATGTAGTACTTTTAAGGGGTGATTTGTCCTTTTCCACGAGTGTTTATTCACCCGGATGTGTAACACCTCGATTTTTCAATTATTTCTTTTTAATTGAATTTAATATGCTTTATTTTATTTTATGGGAGTTCTCTAGTTATTCGGTGGTATTTTAAGGTTGAGTAGAGTTTATTTGAAACTATTATTATTATTATTAACTATTTAATTATTTTAAATAATAGATTAAACTAAGATATTTGGTATTGGGGAGGAAATTAGTAATATAATGAAAAGTGAGGCTAAATGTAAAAATATGAAGAGTTAAGGGGATTAAAGAATTATTAAAATAAGGTTAGGGTTTTGTTTAAAAACAATGTTGGGGGAAACTTTTAGGCAGTACATGTTTTTGTTTAGAAAAGAGGTAGAAGAGAGAAAGTCTAGGAAGAGTGTTGGAAGGGACAAAGAGGAAATCCCAAAATACAAAGCTTCATCCTTACCCTCATACCTTCTTCTGTTTCTGTTTCTTTATGATAATGTTTGTGGCCAAAGAAGGTTAGGGCAAAACCTTCTAAGGTGATTATTATGATAATATTTCTCTGTTTGTACTTGATCATTATTGACCTTGATTACATAACTTGTGTTAATGTCTCTTAATAAGGAGGGAGTTTATTGATACGTATGTTGATGCCTTTTGATAAGGCGAGAATAATTGATATTATTCATTTATGTCTTTTGATAAGGCGGGTTCATAAATATGTGATGTTTGTAGATTTATATTATCCATGGTTAACCTGTGTGTATTTAATTGATAATACGTTATGTTAACTCCTTGCAATAAGGCGAATGTTGAATTCATATTTTTGTTGTTGCCTTATGATAAGGCGAGAGTCATAATGTTTAATTTTCAATACTATGTTTATCTGTATATTTTTTGGACAGTGATAACTCAAATAGGAGAAATAAGCATGTTTTAGATTTGTTCAATAGAGAGAAAATGCAGAAAATCGTAGGTAGACATAGAAGGGGGTTGTCTGCCTTATTTCATTCGTAACTTGAGTTTCATTAGTCCGTTTGAGGTGCCGCTAGTTGCGTTTTTGAAGTGGAGAAATTCGGCCAGAGAGCGCTATAACATTAGAAGTTCTTTGGTTTTTATACCATAGGCGTAGTCAAATTTCAGTCTTGTGTTAGTTATCTTATTTCACGCGTAACTTGAGTTTCCTAAGTCTGTTTGGGAAGTGGTCGGTTGCGTTAAAAAGAGAATTTAATGAAATTTTAAAATGGATAGATTCATAATCTTATCATAAATCTATAACTTTTTGTGCTATTGTGAAGTTAGACATACTGTTTTAGAGTTAAGTCAAGGATTTAGAGAAACCCTATTATAGTGAGACAATTTTAGAATTAAGAAAAAGGTTTTGGGAAAACCTTGGAGCAACTTAAAGATTTTGAATATATTTATAAATAAATTGAATTTAGGTTAATTTTATTTTGAATTATTTGATATTTTTAGAGTTGAACGTGAAATGTTTAGAGTTGAGTTTGAGGTATTTTATATTTTTAGAGTCGAGTTGAATAAAATGGGTTGAGATCTGAGTCACTTGATATGTTTAGAGTTATGAGTAATTTATTAAGTTACGTTGACGTGTTTGGAGTGTTGTTTGTGTCAAGAGAGTTAAGTTTTTGAGTTACTTGAC